TATTCGAACGTTCTAGTAGCAAGGCTGCAATTGTTGGCGTCATATTTTTCAGGTGTACCGGTTTCATCAATACTGAGGTACTTGTGACCATGAGAGCACATGTAATGTGTTGAGACTGCCAGGTCCTCCATTCGATGGAGGGCTTTCTTCACGCTTTTCCAATGCTTGTAAGTTGAACTTGCCGGATGCGGCTGAGAGAGCATCTGCAGGAGGTCATCCATGGCGGCATCTGATAGTCTGTGCTTGAGCCAAATCTGAATCAGGTCATTGTTCACTGATAGAAACAGCTCCAACTTTTGCAGCTCCGGAAGGATTGACGACACATATGCGTCGTGATGACAAAAATCGGCACCGGAGATCACTAATGACGTTTCGCCGGCGGTAGCTGTGCCACTTTCAGAATACTGTGAGTGAAAGACAATTGAAGCAGGATGGCCGTCACTAAAGGAGTGGCATGACGCGTTAGAGGCATGAGTGTAGTACCCCTGCCCTTCGCGAGTAGAGACTAAAGCTTCACTAACTTTAGCCGAACTGGAAGTCCTGTTTGCTGACTCCTCACAAACATCTATCCCATCAGAATGTGCCATTTGATGTGGATCCTTGCGACTTCGTTTCCCTGCACGTGCCTGACTTGGAGAGATAGAAACTTCACTCAGACCGGGATTCCACTCCGCCAATGTTCGTGCGCCAAGGTCAGATATGTAGCTTTGGGGTGGCGAAGAAGAATCTCCGGTGTCGATGTGGGTACGCGGAGTGATGGTGTCCTTATGGTCTGCCCTGAATTCTGTCGGTAATGGCGAGAAAATAGCGGGTCGCTGGTTTCCTCTCTCATAAACTTCTCTGCCGCACGTTTATGAGCACATGTGATGCTCCGTGCTCGGGGGACACCCCGGCAATCACAACGGTATACCTGCGGACAAACGAAACGCCGCTTCTGCTGTCGAACTGACATTGGTACTGAGAATTATTCACGAACCAAATGGGTTGGATATATTCAGCGCAGCCTGAGTTTATTGCATTAACATGCACTGCAGTCCAAAGTTTTGCATCCCGTCGCAATAGATCTTGATCAGTGAAGTTACAGAGAATAAATCGTAATGGTTACCGCTCAAACCAAACCAAATCGCATCGAAACGAAACGAAATCATAAGCATTACATATACGCACCAAATTATCGATGCAATGTCCTGGGAACCCCTCTTGCTTCTGTACCACCTGCTTTCAAAAAGGCATGGAGTCCTTAAGTCGAGATCTGGAGCGCATCAATGACAAGCTTGACGGGTTGAGATCTATAAAAAGGGATATGGAAGAGATCAGAAGGGATGTAGCGTCAATTTGGCAACGCATTTCTGAATCTGTTAAAGGGCAACACGATGTACAACTTCACAGATCGTCGTCAAATGGTGATACCAGGTCTGGATATGATCAGTACAGCGGGACAGTTGAAGACCCTCGAAACAATAGAGCTCCCGAAAAATCGTCTTTCATTTCTGTCGGAAGTGTACTGCGTAATGCTATTGACAAACACAATTCGGATGCTCAGGAACGTGGAAATACGGTCATTAAGCAGATAGATCGTTCAGCTCAATCCTTCACACGTATATCAATGAAGACAACCGAGGTCCTCCTCGGTGCCTCATCTGTGTTTGGACAGCATGTTGGTTTTCATACCTTGCAAAAAATCCAGAGCATTCATAGCAATAACTTGAGCAAATTCCTTAAGGAATATAACGACATATCCAGAAGACTGGTCAAGACATACCCAGTACTGAGACTTGCATACGGAGGCTGGGCAGTGAGAGAGATCATCCGAGGAAAACTGATCAGCATCAAGGAGAAAACCCGAAAGGAAAACATATGGTCAGATAATTTTCATGGGTCTACTTTTGATCCCTCCACTTGCGTAGAAGTTGATTCGGATGATCAAACCGCAAGCGATATTATTGATGAATGTTGCGCTGTGCACCCTGTGGACGTAATATGCAATGAATGTGAACAAATTGATGACGTCGAGATTCTGGAACACATTCGTCTTGCCCGGGATGGAAATTGCAGACAACCAGGCCGATCAAGTGCAAAGAGAGCAAAAAGAGAGACGGTCAGTAGATACAAAGCTGATAAACACGGATCAGTCATGAAAAAGACAAAAGGGAGGTTAAAATTACGTACAGGCACTTCGAGGCATAGCACCACCCGCCCGATCGTGCGTCAGCGTCGAGAGGTACCGTGGTTGAATTCTGATGACGATAAAAGGGGAGAAAGGGATAGTGAAAGTAACAGTGATGAGGAAGAGAGCGACCACGAGCTTCTTCCAAAGAGAAGGAGATCCACTCGAAATACTCGGCTTTGATATGCAGAGCGCGATTCATGTTAGGTGGGATTCTAGTAAACTTGCGGACGCACTCACATGCTAATCATTGATCTTCATTCTCACTATCATGGCGTAGTGTGATGATTCCTGGAGGGAGCTCAATTTCACTCGCTAAACTGATGGGGGCGGTGACCGTGCCCATGGGATCTCATACCCTCGACGACGTCGACGTCGCACGGCATGACCTGTACGAAGCAGATGCACATGGCGCCCGGCTTGGCCACATCGGAAAGGGCTCCGCTCGGGCGCCGCTAGATGGATCGTGATGAGGCACGTCGGATCAGGCATTCTTGGGGGGTAGGGAGCCAAGGGCGGCAGGGAGGGGTAGGGGAAAGAGGGATATCTTCAGACGAAGGGATACGCGGGATGCGGCACAGCGGGGAAGGTGTGAAGGGTCTTGGTTGGATCAATTGGGGGGCCTTGAAGATACGTGTGTATATTTGGGCAGAGGTGTCACACGTGTGCACCTCACTGCTGGGCGGCGCCCTGGTGGAGAGGGACATGCGCGAGGGAGAGCGGGAGAGTTACGGCAGGGCGGGTTGCGGGGAGCTCAGGTAGGAGGAGTGGCGGCTTTTGGCGCGGTGGCGATTGCAGACATGGCTCTCTCGCAGGGAGTAGATGCTAACTGCGGTGATTGAAGATGAAGTTGGCTCTTTTGCTTTTAGGTTACTTTTGTTCCTCCAGCCTGAAGCGAAAAGTGTTCATTGCTGTGATCCATATTGTTTTTTAGCTGTACATAGAGTATGATTGGTCAAATGCACGATATTACATAATTGGCACCGCCAGTATGACGATAACCAGTGTCTGACCGTCTACGGTACCTCGGGGCGTAATTGAGGAGACGGGAACAGTTCTGAGCTTCGGGGTTGACGGAGCGAAGGGAAAGCACGCCTTGAATCGCCAAGGGGGCCTGTTCGCCAGTTCCAATGTCGGGTCGGCGAGCGTCGGAGGAAAGCTCCCGATGACTGGGTAGCGAGGGTTTCCCCACTCTTGTGAGAGGATAGTGGCGTCGGCGACCAAGGGAGGGTGCTCAGCGAAAGGA